AAGCAAGTCTTAAGAAATATAAAATAACTGCTATGCAAGCCATTTTTCTAACCACATGCAAACAAAAAGATGACATTAAAGATGTGTTTGGAAAATTTAAACTACACTTCTAAAGTATTGGTCAAAGAAAATCATAATAGAAACTTTAGAAATATTTAGAATTGCAATGAAAGTGAAACCATATTAACATGTATGATAATCAGTTTAAGTTGTATTTAGAGGTAATAGATAGCCTTAAAGCTTATGTCAGAAAAAGAAAACTAAGTGGACTAAATATTCAATTAGAAAAATTAGAAAATCAGTGGAATCAACCTAAAGAAGGTACATTATTTTGTGTAATAGAAATCAAAGTTGTAATAGAAAGCATCTGTGAATACAGAATTTGATCTTTTTCTAAAATAAAACTTTTCCAGATTTGAACAAGAAAGAAGGTGCAAATTAAAAATAGAAGGAAAGAAATAGAAGATATAGCAACCTATAGTGATCAGTTCTGTTCAATAAATCTAAAAAGTTAAAGCCTAAGAAAAAATAAGCTAAAAACTAGAAAACTTTGAATAATCATACAGCTATTAAAATTTTTTTTAAAAATTAAAACATACCCACAAAAATAATATATTCTTGTCTTACTGAAAGATTTTACCAAATATTGAGAAAGAGGTTATCTCAAGTATATGTAACTATTTCAGAGGATGGAAAACAAGGTAATATTTCCCAGCTCATTTATAATGGTAATACAACCTCCATATCTAAACTAGAAAGGAAAAATTATGTCACTCTCACTTGGACATTGATGAAAGATGTCTAAATAAAGTTAACCAAAACAAAACAAGACAAAATACCTGATTTTCTAAAAAACAAAATGAAACACCTCATGAGCAATTGCTATTTATCCTGGGAATAACAAGAATAGTTTTACAATAGACAACCTGTTTTATGTAGCACAGAGAGTAAAGGGAAAAGTGCAACCTTTTATTTTAGCTTGTTCTTTTTGCTAAAGGGCAGTGTATATAAATCTTGACTTTTAGAAAAAGAT